CTGATCCAATATGGTACTTTTAATGTTTTTATGATAACTAATATCATTGTAACTAATACTTGTCCACTGCAAAGTGACTAAAAAGATAATGGAAATATAGTGGAAATATAACAGGGGACCCAAAATTGATAATAATGCTAAATAGAGTTAATTGGGGTCTTATGGTGTAGACTGTAAGTATATTAACCAGAAAAAGTTTGTTAATGGGTTATAACATACAAAACATGTATTTATACTGGACAGTGAAAGTTTTAGACACTACTATATAGGTAGTGAGGAGAGTTAACAGGGTCACCAATAGGTAACCAAAGTCTGTCTAGAATAGAACTAAGCCAGATTCTATTCTTAGATGCATTCAGCCTCATTTAAGTCCATAATCACATATGGCTAACTGAAATAAAAATTTGACCCTGTAGATTTATGTTGAATGAAAACCAGTTTGTATGTCTCACTGGGAAACTTATCTGAAAACACTGAAATCTGCTTCCTTAGTCATTTAGGGTGTGTAGTTCACTTAATATTTGGCTGTCATTTCCACTGTTTATGTAAAAGGAAAAAATAATTTTGTCTCTTCTATGCCAACCCTTTTAATTTGTTATTATTATCTGTATACATGAAAGATAAACAAAAATCTTCACATCTGTCATGAAAAAGGAATGTATATGTATATAAAGTAACAGCATTCTTTACAAATAGCATTTAAAATTTACAGGGAATATTCATACATTTGAAGGGGAATTTTGGACATAGAGACTAGGGACAGACAGTCAAAGCCTGAGCTTCAATTGATTCAGTCTTTGCAGGTTAGTTTAACCTGGCTAGGCTAAATCAGTTTTGTAACTGGACAGACTTCCCAGAAATGCAGGCACATGCCTGCAGTGGCTCAGGCTAGGAGCTGGGGGGGCACTAGTGTAGTCCTCCCTTCCTTCCACAGCATGGAGCTGAGCGGGGCATGGCCAGGTTCTGGCAGGAGCTCTGATTAGTCCAGCAGGGAATTGATAAGTGTTTATCACCCAATTAAGAAAACAACAGAGGGACATTACCAGCTACTTGTTGATTCTGCCTGTTGATTCGGCACAGTAGCCAGCATGTGGTCTGCTAGCTAATACACAGACACCTCCTCAGCAAGGCAGAGGGGAGAGAGGAATTCCTGCTTAGCAGGGAGTGGTAAAAGGAGGGGGGAAGCAGCCTGCAGTCTCTGGAGCTCCAACTAGAGCAGAGGGGAGGGGCCAGCCCTGCTGTGGAGCAGATAGCCCCGGTTAGCCCAGAGAGCATGCTAAGATGCTGGGGGTGTCTGGTTTATCTTAAACCAGCAAGGAGTCTGGGACAGACATTGCATAAACCTGTTTGAGCCAAATCCATTAAGTCTGATACTACATTCAACCAGGTTTATCTCAAACTGGTTTCAGTCATCCTCAAACTTGTTTATGTGCAATGAACATCTGTTCTGTTACAGGATTAAACCTGTTTCTGATCACTTAAACTGGTTTATGTGTAATGTTTGTTCCTAGCCAGGTAGTTTGCAGGATTAAGTTCTTTGTATGATGACATGCTCAGCCAAGAAGAAGTGGATCTCATGAAGTAATGTTCTGTGTTTTTATTTTTGTTTGTATTTTAACATATGAGTAACACCTCATTTAAAATTAATATCTTATTTTAACTAGGTTGAGGTCCTGATTGCCATAAGCAGCATCACTTCTCCATTACTATTCACAGCTTCTGCATACTTATCCTTCAGTATCATGCGAGTTGTGGACATCTTTAAAAATTATCCACCTGCTGTTAAAGTATGTATTTCCCTTAATTAATTGAATATTTAGCAGGCACCAATTAGAGATTTAGATGGAGTAACTAAAGAATGTATTATGAATTATGTGTATAAGTATATTAGGTGTTGCATCATGGAGAAAGAACTAAAAACATGGAATTACTCCAAAAAACTACATAACTTTTAAGAAAGTTATTTTAAAATGTGTTTTGAATCTCCTAGAAAATATGACATCAGGAATATAAACATCTAAGTTTAGAATTTTAAAAATAATCTATAGAAAAGTTACTGCCTATGTAAATTCCATAAAACTTTTCTATAAGGTGCTACCAAGTGTTTTTAACATTGTAGCAACCTTTTAAGTTCCTAACTTACATGAGAATAAATCATTTCTGTTTACTAGAATACCTACCAGTAGGTGGCAAATCTACCCTGCCTTCTACCAGTAGGTGGCACAGTGGGATAGTATACAAAATGTTCACCCCCCAAGCTTGCTGGTTTGGGTCTTGAGGGGAGGGCTGAGCCAATCCCATGCAGGAAGAGGACTCTGTTACCCTGACAACCTACCCCCTGTTCCTGGTGCACTGAAAAGGTGCTTGAAGCTCCAAGCTGCAGCAGTCAGGAAGCTAAGATGGAGGGCAGGGGAAACAGAGCAACCCTGCTGCACACCTCTCCTCCCCCAGCTTCCTGGCTCTGGTCTTGGGGGTGGGGAGGGTGGGCCAGACTCGTGCTGAGGCTAGCAGGCCGCCCAGCAAGGGGCACCTGGGATGCTGGTGGAATGCAACCTACCTTGGTTTGCAGCGGGATCTGTTAGAAATGCTCAATAAAGCACTTTAACCTAAAGCACTTTAATCTGATACCACATCCATCCAGGGTTAACTTAAAAAGACATACTGAATCAAACCTTAAAGCAAACAGGATATGACCCTTTAAGTATAATTATATTAACAACATTTACTGTACTTTACCTTTTAACATAAATTCTCATTAAATGCCAGAATTGAAAACATATCTAAGCGCAAAATAAAAGGATAAAAATCTGAAAGCCATGTTATTTTTTGTGACTAAGTGTGACTAGCATTTTGAATGAATCATTACTGAATGACTAAAAATCAGTATATTAGAGCCAGCTAACTAAGCATTCATGCGGTACTAGATTTTTCTGATAAAAAGGAGCGAGAGAGAATGAATGTCTCCAAATGGCCTCAACAAAATGTTTAGGGAAAAAGTGCAGTCAGATAAAGGTCAAATTGTTGCTGAACCTCATTGTATGAAACTTTTAAAATACTTGAGGACAAAGCAAGTTTCCCTACTTTTCTGTTTTAATTCAAAATGAAGGTTTAGCCAAAGTCTGCTAAATTGTTCATAAAAGTATCGTTAAGCGTTTTGTGTAGACCTGCGGGCAAAACTTTTTTTCTGACCCACAAAAGATTTTAGATTGCAAAAATTTTTCCAATTCACATCAAGAAACCAAGACTTTTTGTCAAAGCTTTTCTCAA